AGGGTGGATGGGGCAGCACCGTTCAACCAAATTTGGTGATTTCTTCCCGGGTTCTCAGACTTGTGTGAGGGCGTGCATTGTCGTGCAGGAGCAAAATTTCTGCTGGATGCTTGTGAGGCCGAACTCGTCGAAAACGCTTCTTGAGGGTTTTCAGGGTCCTGATGTACGCGTCTGAATTGATGGTCGCACCTCTTGGCATCACATCCACAAGAATGACCCCATCACTGTCCCAAAAGACAGTCATCATGACTTTTCCGGCGGAGGGAGTTGTCTTGGATTTCTTCTTTCTCGGTGATTGAGGCTGATGCCACTCCATTGACTGCCTTTTTGTCTCTGGCTCAAAGTGGTGTATCCAGGTTTCGTCACCTGTAATGATCCGGGACAGAAAGACCTCTCCCTCAGCATCAAAACGCTCCAACAATTCAGAAGAAATCGTTTTCCTTTGAATCCTGTGGTCTGCTGTGAGACTTCGTGGAACCCATCTTGCGCACACCTTCGAATATGCGAGAGCCTGGATAATTGCAATCACACTTCCATTGCTGACTGAAAGCTGTTGGGCCAATTGTCGAGTTGTGATGCGCCGATCCTCACGAATAATGGCATCCGCGCGGTTCAACAGCCCAGAGCGCGGCAGATCACGGAGCTCGGTTTCTTCACTTCCTGAAGCTTTAACTCTCTTAGCCCCGCGACCAACGGTGCTCCTATCGACTGCACAGCTTCCATACACAGCACACAAACGTTTATGAATGTTCACCACCGTTTCTTTTTCAGCAACAAGGAATTCAATTACAGCTCGTTGCTTGTACCGAGAGTCGTTCACAGACGCCATTTTAACAGTTCACTACAGCTCCGCTATCGGTTGGAATCATTTGAAACTCCGTACACGAACGCGGGAAACATCAAATCTCAAGCATGTAAAAGTACACTTTTCTATCTTCATTATTGGCTGAGAAAAAAAATGTGGGGCATTATTTAATGAGCAACCCTCGTATATTGTATGAAATGACATGTTCTACATCCTTTGGTTGAGTCCTAAGAAGGATCTATGGAATGTAAATAAACTCTACTCTACAAAATAAAGATTTAGTATGGTGCAAAATTACTCATCTTCGTTGCATTACAATCTGGAGAATAAGAATTACACAGAAACCTCTTTTGCCCATTTTGGAAAAAAAATCTGTCCAAGGTCTGACACAATAAACCAATTTCATCTTCACACACTGGCAACTACACCGACTGCCTTTCACAGAATCCAGAGGTTCAATACCATGATCACATGAGCATGCCACTGGAACCCGTCGTGAACCCAATGAATGGCTTCTATATCCTCGTACATTACAATGATAAAAACAGAAATGTTCCAGTCTGAGGCCAGAGAAAGGAACAACTGTCCCCACAACTACAAGAGTAAACAGCATAAATGGCTCCACAAAGTTTGGGGGATGAATGGTTACAGGTGGTAGCCTAGTTCAAAGGAAAAATGTGACAGGGAGATTGATAGACAGGCCCATAATTTATGCACACTAAAGCATAAGGAACACCTAAAATGGCAGAAGTCCCTGTTCTGAAGTGCACCTTGAAGATCAAAGTGAGTGAAGCTGACGTGCCATATTTTCTCATTATCGGCGCTAGGCACAGATGATGTAAGCTTCATGCTCCAGCCCCATTAACCCCACGGAAAGAGACACTGCCTTTTCTAGTGTACATAGCAGACTCCTGACTTGGATCACACCAGGGATGTCAAGCTCACATACTCAAGTCATGGCCTTGCAGGTGGTTATCAATATTTCAGAGGACCACAACAACTCCAACTTCAGATCTGTACCCAGAAGATGGTGGTGATACATCTCTCTGAGATGTTGGTAAAACGTAAAAGAGTACATGACTTCACAATCCATTAGACCACAATTCACATTTCAGCCACTGTGAAAACCTAAGATCTCACAAATTCTAATTTTAAGCAGGTGTGTTAACACTGTTGTTTTAATGTGAACGACACACAAATTTTGTGCTAAGGGACACAGTCACGCACAGACGTCCACGAACATGGTCCTCGAGGATTTCACCATTATCCACACACATGTACTAACACTCCTTTTTTTTCAGACTGCACTTTGGCACTTTAAATATTCTTTGTAAAGGCAGAAATGTCGTATGTGGAAGAAGAGAAAAGAGTCTGGATGAAACACTGATTACAGGACTGTGCAAAAAAGTCACTTTAATTTATTACAAAAATTATAGCAGCATTTCTTAAAGTGTGGTATGTGTGTCACATGTGGGACACAAAATGATTTCAAAGGGTACATGCCAAACAGTAATTATAAAAAACTGTTCCAGAGTTCTGCCTGCTGTCAGATGAACTTTGAATTTCAAGAAACTACTAATAAATTGGTTAATACTCATAAAGGTCATAGGTTTCTGTACATTTTTTTGCTCACCTCATGGCCGCTTGAGAGTTAACCGACTCTGATACATAACTGGGACACGTCTGCAAAATACTTCTGAGAGTGTGCCACTTCTTGTAAGCCTCGTCTACACCTTACAACTGAACTGACAAAGAATTTATTATGGCCTTGCAGTTGGCTACAAAGTTTATCAGCTTGTATAGGTAAATTATGTTTGAAATCCATTTTCACATTCAAGAAAA